TTTTTTTTTTTTTTTGATTATGAGCTAAAAAGTAAGTATCCAGGTTGTAGTGTTTCAAGTTTTAAACATAAGCTGAATTGAGCTATAGTGCTCCAGGGTTTAAATCACCAGTAATGGATCTTGAAACTAAAAATTGAGTTAAATTTAAAGAGGCAAGTAATTCCATCCTGGCTTATCAGGCACATAGAGTGCATAAATATTGATCAGTTTGCCCGGCACCTGACACATAACTGTAATACAGAAGCTCTGTATTTGGGAAGAGATGGGAGCCTCCTGGCAGAGGCTCCTTGGTGAACAGCATAGTCTTCCGAGAGCACGCTAAGTAAGTACACAGTTTCTCAGCAGTTTGCTTGGACAGTATTATAATTCTGAATACAGTAACCAGTCTGCTCAGGAAAACGTGCCCTTCAGTTGACTGGAAGATACTGGGGCAAAGAACAAAAATGTTGAGACATCTCTAAAACAGAAGCTCTTTGAGATACAGATCCGAGAATTAACTAAAGCAGTTTGATTTCTCTCTTAGAAGATCATCTAGAGTAGAGGCAGCTGTTTGGTATCCATTTTGTAAATAACTTGAATACAGTATTCAAATAAAAAATCCAGCCTGTATTTGCTTGATCCTTGGGTCCACATTTAATACCTTTTTTAATTTTTTTAATGTTTTTCATGTTTTATAATCTTTTTAACATATATGTGACCTGAGACTTTGTTAAAAATCTGATCATTGTATTAAGACATAAATGCTTCTCCTGTTAAAAATTGCCTTATTACTTTTCTTTCGGTCAAATCTTATTAAACATCAGAATCACCTGGGGGCCCTAAAAAGTACACATCCTTAGGCTCTTTTGCCTGGAGATTCTGATTCATTGGTCTGGGATGGGGCTCGGGTGTCAGTATACTTTTAATTTTAAGTTCATGTATCCAAGGTATGAGAACTGGTCTAGACTACTACTTTCTAATTAATATCTTTTGGGGTTTTTTCCGTACTGGCACTTTCTCTTCTGGAATAAGAAAATGGATCACTTTTTTATTATTGGCACCTAAAAAGATAAATCTGAGTAATTTGAAAAAAATAGTGTTTATAGCTCATTTAAAAGACAGTCTTTAATGGTAATTGGGTCGCTTATTCGTGGATCTTAATATACCATTGACCCTGAACAACATAGGGGTTGGGGTAACTACCCCCCTCCCAGTCAAAAACCCACATAGGAATTTTGACTGTCCAAAAACTTAATTACTAATAGCCTACTGTTGACTGGAAGCCTTACTGGTAACAGTTGATTAACACCTATTTGGTATGTTACATGGATTATATACTGTATCCTTAAAGTAAGCTAGAGAAAAAAAATCATAAATTAGAGACCTTGTAAGAATTTTGTAACATTTATAGTAGTGTACTGTGAGTTTATTGGGGAAAAAAATCCATATAGAAGTGGACCTGTGCAGTTCAAATCTATGTTGTTCACGGGTAACCTGTAATATCCATTAGGGTAGGCTAGGCTTCAGAGATGAAAATTAGTGAAACTTTCTGTAATGTATGAAGTCTCATATGTCTGCCAGTAATCTATGGTGGGTCAGAGAGGAGGGATTATACAAGTTTGTTGTTAACACATATACATAGGGACTTTCCTATTGTTTTATGTATTCCTCTTATACTTTCAGATATGCAAGAACTGTACAGGGTGCTTTGATCGACATATCCCGTGTGTTTCTCTGAACTGCCCAGTACTTTTCAAACTCTCCCGAGTAAATAGAGAATTATCCAAGGCACCATATCTCCGGCAATTACTAGACCAGTTTTAAATTGTCAATATCACAGAATTCCAGGTGCTATTTTTTTTTCAGTGTTTACCACTAAACTGTTGTGCATGGTGCTTTCTCAACTTTCATCGAGTCAAGTATGTTCACTGTCTCTTATCTGAAGACTGAAGGCTTTTATGCTAACTGAATTAAAAATTGTACTTGTTGATCTCTGAATAGCTCACTTCTTACAATGTACAAATTCTTCATCCTTTTATAACGTATGTGTTGAATTTGCTCCAGTATGTGTAACATCTTGTAAATCCATTTGAGTAGATGATACTTACTTCCCTGTGGAAGGAGCACTGAAAACCTCTTTAAAAAAAAAAAAACAAAAAAAAAAACAAAAAAACCATTCGTGTGTTTCCCTTGAACTGTCTGTATCAAGACGTGTTACTTAGAGATACTCATTCACTTTATAATTTTGACTGCGAAATATTTTGTAAATACACTTTTTTACTTTTCAAACAACTGAGTAAAATAATGTGCAATGAATTTTATACAAATGATTTTCAAGTTGTTAGGTATATTTCCTCTAGGTTTTGCTTGACTCAGAGTAGAGTTGTTATTTTGATCGAACTGTGCAAACAGTAGTACCATGTGTAGCATTTTGAAACGTTATTTTCTAAAACCGCTGTCTTGCTTTAGCTATTCCTGGGGCATTGTGAGGAACTGTGCAAAGACATTTTTGTTACAAACCTGTGGGCCTGTTGCAATACTTTAAAAATAAATTTTATTCCATTTTTGCTTGTTTTGTATAGACATTTCTATTGCTTCTAAATATGCTTAAAATATTTTCTTTCCTTATGTACTGTACAGTTAATCTTATTTGCCATCATCTTGAACACAAAATGTGTATTTAGAATATTTGTATAACTGTATAAAACGAAAAAGGAATTATGTGGTCAGTGCATTGTTTTCTAAACTGGAAATCATTTTGTTTTAAAAGTTAATGGAAACCATATTAAAGTTGAATAAAATATGAAATACGGCAGTGTGATTATTAATTATCTCCCTCTCTTGGTTACATCTTACCCTACTCTTTTCTGAATTTTAATATGGTCAATTTAATTGATGCCGCAAATTCCCTCACCCAAAACTTGAGGATAAAAAAAAAAAGTAGTCTAGGGGCGCCTGGGTGGCTCAGTTGGTTAAGTGACTGCCTTCGGCTCAGGTCATGATCCTGGAGTCCCGGGATCGAGTCCTGCATCGGGCTCCCTGCTCCGCGGGGAGCCTGCTTCTCCCTCTGCCTCTGCCTCTGTCTCTCTCTCTGTCTCTCATGAATAAATAAATAAAATC